ACATATTTCTGGTCTGCAATCTTGTTAATACCAAAGTATTTAACATTCATTTCATTTATTCTCTCAACATGATATCTATTTCGGCGAATATTTAAAACTTAACAGGTTTGTTGGGGATTTAGAAGAGAACAATTCATCTTCTATGACAAGGTTTGTCCCCTTAGACAGAAATATAGTAGCTCTTTCGGAGCCTTTTATTAAGTTTTAATTACCAGAAATTGTAGTAGCATTTGCTTTTCTTCTAAGCAAGTAGGAGAAGCATTTCTCATCTTTGAATATGGCGTGCGTTGTTCCACTATTAATTACACAAATATCTTCATGATTGATCATTGAGGTATCCATATACTTTTCAAGATAAAAGATATAAATGAAATAAACAATTATAATATTATTGCTAAACATTACACAACTTTTTAGTTATTTACAAGTCTAGGATAACATATTCAAGTTCCACGTAAATCGAAAAGGGATATAACGTTATTTATAAAATAAGTTCAGGGGATAATAGGATCTTAGTATAGTATAAGTGTGTCTCTGGAATTCAGGCATAGGTTGGGGGTACTTATGCATTTTCCCAAAAAAATATATCATTCTAAGGGCATTTAATATAATCTAAATAAATATTATGACAATGGATTCGAATCACCACACTTTAACATGGCCCTAAACCCCGGGCAATCGCCTTGAGCCCCAACATCAACACCAGAGTCGACCCCGAACCTATCCTTGATCAAGAACTTGATCCTCAACCTGACTTTGGTCTAATAACCTAACTTAGATCAAGGTCGTGAGTGGGGTTCCGGGGTTAGAATCAAGAGTTGTGATCAAATTGAGAAGCCGAATCCCATATGAGGATCAAGAGTTGAAGGTCGGGTGATCTTAGGTCCAGACTGTTAGTGAGGTTGAAAAAGATTTATGAAAAATATTTTTCAAAGTTGTTTTGTTATAAATTGGTTGAACACAATTTATAAAATATTTAAGCCAATCAACTATGAATTCTTTTTTTAAAAAAATAAAAAATCTTATATACCAAATGCACCCTCAATCAACTAGTGTCCTACATAGAATTAATCTGGTTAAATCTAATTGTAGTATATATGCTCACATTAAACAACGTGGTTGATAACACGAAGTGATGAATAAGCATTCAAAATCGATGAAATAATATTCCAATATTAGTATGTACAAAAAAAAAACTATATAATTATTTATGGATAAGACTTTAATTTTACTAGTAAAAATTTTGCCATGACAAAACATCCGTGCTTTAGATAAGTATATACTTGCAAGTTGTGCAAAAAGTTAGAATGGTGGTTGGTCTGTCTGCTGAAGCTGCAAGTGTACCATTGGGCTTTTCAAATTGAAGAGACTTTTTCTCAGTAGACCAATCTTAATAACTTTGTTTTCCAGCAACCAAGTATATTATTAGTTAATTTTTATCTTGAGGTCTCGAGTTATAGTCCCTCTGAATAGGAATTCGTCTTTGCTAGGGATCAAAGTAATTCAAATTCTTCTGGATAGGAAGTCGCCTTAAGAAGCGCTTTACTTTAATTATGAAACTTCTTGATTTGACTCTAATATGGATATAGATTATCGAGTGAGAAACAAAAAAATCCTTGTT